TGCGCGGGTTCAAATCCCGCCAAACGCCTAGAGTTTTTTCACAATTGGGTCACATCAAATCTAATTTAAAAGTAAATGTGAGGCACAGCGTCAATTTCGACCTAGACTAGGACTTACTGTAAAATTTAAGAAACGTTAATATTTACCCTTCCTGGATTTTGCACAGAGTCACCTATATTACCGATAACAAGTACACATTAACTTTTAACGCAGTCTTCTTTAGGAAGACTTTTGAATTTGGTTTACTTTAATTCTCTGACTCATCAACCATGGTAAATGATCTCTTCTCACACTTTTCTTCGCCATTTTCTGTCAGTTCATGATATCAGAATAAAAAGAAGAAGAAGATGCGATCACTGGAACAAAAGTTTTATTTTCCTGATGGTTCGGATTCTGTCGAGAATCCTTAATCATAGATAACGGTAAGATATTCTGAGCCATGTGCAGATTGGGGTAAAACATGCACAGATTGTACTGTATTTACAGCTCGTAGTGGTCATCTGCGTGCGTACTATAATTATCCATTCATGTAGCCACTGCTTGGTCATGCTGAGTGCTCTGATGGCTGGACATTTCCCGCTCGACTCATTAATTGCCGCAAATTCCTTGTCCTTGTCCGGGTTGCTGGGCCCAGCCCTTCCTACGTCCCTTCAAGCCTATGAGCATATAGATTTTTTAGGGTTAATTTCTGCTAATGCCTGGTAAATAAATACAACTGGCAGATAAATAGTACTTTTTCGATATATCTCACCATTTTGAGGCCACTTTGTTGTAAATTACAAATAGCTTAACGGAACCTTGAACTGGATTGAGATATCAAAAATGGCTCCATTTCAATGTCTGGTCTGAAAACCGGTCCTCGAGTCACACCTTAAAAGTTGCAATCACATCCCTACGCCACCTGCGGCAGCTTCAAATTCGAACAGACCACCAGCACGGAAAGGGTAATTGTCATATACCAAATGGTCCAAACCAAGTACAGTACAATTTCTAAATAAAATTAATTTAACTTACTGGCCCAAGTACCTGGCTTGTGGTCCAGGTGGTCTGTCCACCCACAATCTGTGTGTCATTTTATCTTTTTTTGACGAGACAAAGGCAGATGTCGCCCCTCTCAGTACTGGTCGTTTATGTCTACCTTTGTAAACGGTACGATTTTCCAATTTATATCTCCGAACATGCCAACTTGTAATCATTTCTTCTGGTTGATATCCCCTTAGCAGACAGCTCAGCTGTTCGTTTGGGTTCATGTTTAGTCTCAATGCAAGGCTAAGTCATCAAGTGTTGACACTCGCTTACGTTTATCGGTCCTCCTGGCATATTGAGAAACTCTTCTATTTTCGCTAATGTGTATTTATTTCATTAAGTTCACTCACCATCCGCTTTCTATCTGCATCGTCTTCTAAGACAATTAAACGGTTGGAACATCCAAGCATTATAAGACTAAGAGCCACCAAGCAATATGTCGTCACACCAGAATTTAATGTATCAATATGAAACAGTTTGTAGGTGGAGAAGTAGAAGGCGTGGCAATCACCGGATTCATAATTTTTACTTGTCTA